TTTTGTGCACCGTGTGAGGTTTACCACAAGTTCAGACATGCCCAGACGTGCCCAAACATGACTGCTTTTTTGCTACGCCTGTAAACAGCTAGATGTGCCCGCTCGCTGGAGGGTTGTGAGACAGATAGTGCTGTGCTTCCAGTGTCTTGGACATCATCGTGTCAGTGCATGTGTCAGCATTGCATGCCACATGTGCGGAGGTGCCCACCACTCCTTACTGCACCAGGAGCCCACTTCGAATCACTGGCCTATTCGCTGGTATGCTGCATTAGTTCCTACCCCCTCTGCGTCATCAGCATGGCCCGTTTCTGATGTCATTGGCTCATCACCTGTTCAGCGGGAAACTGATGAGAGTTGGCCGCTCGACTTGCTCCAGACAGGAGAGTCGCCGCTACAACAATGCACGCACACAGGCTGGTCAGCATAGTGTTCAAGCTGTCCTGGTAGATACTTTCAGGCCTCCTGGATCTCGTTACAAAGTGTGCTGATCGATGGAGTCTTTGGTTCGTCCTTTATCATGGCTTCATGTACTAAGGGGCTTGATTTCAAGATGGTTGACCAGGACACCTATGCACGCTTTGGGTCAAAAAACGGAAGAGGCACAGTCTATGACCAGGTATTTGTGATCCTGAAGAGCAGACAGCAAACAGGTAAGAGCACGTTGTCCTGAAAACTAACAGCCTGCGTGCATCGGTAGGTGGTGGAGGCCCTACCAAGGGCGTGCCGCTACCTCTGGGCGTGTAGGCTGTGGGCGAATTCAGTCACAGGCCCGTTGACATGCTGATCGGCTGTGATCCAGGCACCAGGTCGTGCTATGGGATCACCTGGAGCTGAGATACTGTGGCACCACCAGGAGCTGTCCCCCAGTGCTCCGGCTTGTCAAAGCGGTGTTTGGCACGGCCCACATGCTCTGCAGCGGGTTCAAATGGAGCTGGAAGTGGAATAAATGCCCCATCGGAATGAAGATTTGGGGCCATTTGTGGTGCTCCTGAAAGTTGGTGCCTTTTGAAAACAAAGATCATGTTGATCCCAAATGAGGATTTTGATGTCCTTGCGGTTCAGGGGAAGCATGGTCTTAGGTCCTCTCCTCCATACTTACCTCTGGATCCATCCCTTTAGGTAATCCAGATGTTTCCGAATGTTTAAAATCAAACGAAATGCTTGTTTTCTGCCAAAATAGAGTGCTTCTTTGTTTGAAAACATGTTTTTGTAACCTGCTTTTGAACTGAAGTTAACTGACCTGGGTCTGATTTACCTATGTCGATTTGGTATGTCAACAACGGTACTTTACAGGTCATGCACTGCTGGTCCTCTCATAGGGTGACCGAGGTGTGCTGGTCCCAGCCGTCCCATGATCTCACTCAGCTGTGCTGGTCCCAGCCGTGCCATCATCTCACTCAGCTGTGCTGGCCCCGGCCGCCCCATCGCCTCACTCAGCTATGCTGGTCCCAACCGTGCCATTATCTCACTCAGCTGTGCTGGTCCCAGCCGTGCCATCATCTCACTCAGCTGTGCTGGCCCCAGCCGCCGCCCCCCCCCCCCCCCCCCCTCCCGCTCACCTGACTCAGCTGTGATAAAGGCGGCGGTCTCGTCGCGCGACCGAGCTGCAGGCCTCAGCGGTCCCGTTATTTGCTCTGAATACAGCGTTGCTTCACCGACTGACACCTGAGCCGTACAGGTTGCAGCGGTCACATGTCACCGAGCGGCTGCTCTCTCGTCGGGTGACCGAGCTGCGCTGAAGTCGGGGGCCTCGTCAGTGGACTGAGCTGCAGCGGCCGCGGCCGTTCCGTCATCTGATCTGACACCTCGGAGGCGGTGGTTTCGCGTGACCGAGGTGCGGCGATTTCGTAGGGCGACTGCGCTGCGCTGAACATTGCTCTAGTGTAACCAAGCTGCAGCAATGTTCTTGTTTCACCAAGCGGCGTGCAGGCGTCCCGTTCCGCACCCGCACCGAACGTGGCCGCCTCGTGTTTCCAATCCGCGAGGATCCCGTGCGAGTGGGCTGTGCTCGCCGCGGCGACCCCGTCGTCTGGTGGTTCTTGACGTGAACTGGAGCAGGTAGGCCGCCGAAGTTTCTCAGATGACCTTTGACCCCGTGTCAGCTCGCACATACGAGGACAGCTCCAGCATTACTACCCATCTGAGCTGCCTGCTAAACAGTGTTCATTTTTTCTATCTCCGGTATTGTGCTAGCGGGCTGATAGAGTCACGATTTGAGTGACAGCAAAAAGCTCGCAGTCTTATTATGAGGCCTTGGTTGGTCGCTTAGACTGGTCAGTCACCTTGCCAGTCTCAGGCGTGTAAGCAGACGCTAGGGACAGTTAACCCGGCCACTAAATCTCCTTAGGTCTGTTGGAGAGGGCCATTTTGGAATTCCAGCCAGATTTGTCATTTTCATCTCGGTTGTTTATATGTTTGGTGATACTGCCCGCTTATACACGCACAAAATCTACGAAACCTGAGGCTTATATCTGACCAACCAGGAAATATCAAAAATCACACGAAAGCTTAGAGCCCAGCACTTAAACTTTGACTTAAAGTGTGTGCAAAGTGTATCTGATCTGATTCCTGACGTCAATTTTATGAGGCGCCCGGTAATGCTAAAATCGTCAACATGACAGGAAGCCTACACATTTTGAACATCATACGCAATTTTCACATCACCGAGCTTCCACAAGCAAGGGACGCGAGATCTGGGGAGGAAGTTGGGCAAGGATCTGGTCCACCAACTTCCTGGAAATTCAGCATAAGTATTTTCGGGGCTAACCGTTATGAAACAACCAAAAATATCCCTTTGAGCGCAGAGATGCACTCTAGGTACTAGATAATGTGGCAGGGTACGGGGACAACCGCCCCTTGCCAACCGCCAAGGGGGCAAACACCCCTTCCCCTTCCTTTCTCCGTAATGTGCGCCAATTTGCGCCTGAACCCATATCTTAAGTTGTTCAATTTGATCATCTTCCTATGACCCTGCCCGCCAGTTTACCTTCAGCAGAAAGTAGTTTCAGCGCGTGACCGGGGCGCCCAGCCGACTGCGCTTAGTGTTGGCACTGGGGATGATCAATGCGATTCGTTACGTGCGCGGCCTTTGCCTGGATAGAGTGGATCAAGCTCATTCCGTGGTGACTTTTGTCAGTCCACGCGCATCATGTCTGAGAATGTTTGGCTGCGCTTAGGGCAGCGCCATAAAGGGTGGTGGTGCAGGCCTGGAGTAGTATGTGATCCCTGTGACCCCGAAGCCGCGTCTCGTTGGGATAGTTTATCTCGACCGTAATAAATGACCAGATTTCCCCGCGGTTATTATTTTTCCACAAGCAAACAAAACACTGTTAACATCAGGCGTACAGGCCAGAGCGTCGCTGCCAGGTAAAAATAAATATCTCCCTGCGAAGCTATTGCCACTGTTCACGAAGCAGTTTTACCCTCATACATTGTATGACCAATTGGTCCAGATTATAAGTGTCCCTGCGATGGTAGAAGCCTACGAAACCGCGATAAGATTTTTCCGCCAGTATGGGTCGCCGGACATCCTTCCACCATATGAGGGAGAAGGGATGACAGGCATTTTAATCATTTGTTTCCAGCCGACGTCCACAGGGCCAAAGTTCATTTCCAATCAGTTATGGATCTCAGCCCTAGCCCCATCCCTGGTTTCCGTGCCCCCGTGCTTTGCGGTGGTGCAGCGTAAGGCACGCAGGACTTTGCAGAGCAATGTCGCTTACGCGAACGTCAGTTATTAAACGCACGATTTCTCACCCACTTTTATTCAAGCACCGTTGTGACGGCATCATGCCCTCTTCCCACTATCAAAGTTGATGGCGACACCCTTGCAAGGGAATAAAGCTGTCTCAAACTCGCACAGCAGCTGTCTCAAGCTTAAACACGAGGGTGCGATGGTCACGCGTTTGTCCAGCAAACAGCGACTTATGACGGCTGTGTTCCGGCCTGTTCCGTGCGCGTATGTGTCACTTCATCTTGTTGTGTACCCAGTCCACATACGTGCTGACTCGGTTGAAAATACTCAGAGAGTTTGCGGTAACTTTGCAATACGTCGCGGTCCCTCCCGAAACGACTCCGACCAGTTGATACCGACCATCGGAGCGGAGATGCACCATTGGACCGCCAGAGTCACCCTGCGGATAGGAACAGAAATACAGATTCAGTTAATGGATAACGTGTGGCGTTAGTCATGGCAGAATGCCGACAGGTTTTATGGCATAGGTGAAAAAACGCGTGTTCATAAATACGCATCCCACTGTTAAGAAGCAAATATGCTTAAGGCATGAAGCTTGCATGGAATAATTACGATAGGAGTAGTTCGTACGCAGGAGTTGAACCAAATAAAAAATTTCGCTTTGCCCCACGCTGCAGCGGCTTGTGGCCATTATGTATTGCCGACTTTCTTTTTTTAATTTTGGAAGGCCAGTGCCATGCCACATCTGGTGTCAAGGGAAACCTCAGTAAACAAATGTAACGCTGCTTACCGTCACGCGTCACACGTAGCCAACGAAAACGCGCACTATTTGTTCAACACGGTGGACGTAAAGTTCGCAAGTGGCCAAAAGTCGGTAAAAGGCGTGTCAGGACCGGGTACATGGCTCAACCGGGGCGACAACGCAAGGGAACCTTTGCATTTCGACTTGTCTTGGAACGGTCAATCACACTGGTTGCGGCGCGGGTCATCTGGTGAGACGGCGCAAGTGCGCTCGTGCTCAAGCGACCCATTCGGCGTTGTTTTTTTTTGCGTTTTTAGGACTCATGTCAGATGTCGAGAGTTCAACCAGATACCGTATGGGACCAGCCGCATGATGTAAGCGCATGTGCTGTCTACATATCACCCACGCTACCCAATACTGTACAACTTAGGGCAACGCCAGCAGTGGTGTCAATTTTTAAAATCGGTTGGTGTGAGGGGGCTGAGCCGATAAATTTGGCTTGACAGACACCAATCCTTATTTCTCTTCGGATTTTGGTCACTTCATTTGCATCGCCGACGTCAAAATAAAAGCTTTCAATGTGTGTTCAATTCCAAACCTACAGCGAAACGTCAACTTTCGAGATGTGCTCTGCACATGCTCACGCTGCCAGCGTCAACGTGTACAGACAAATACAAAGTTTTAAGTTTCGTTTAGCTGGGATGGCCTGTTGCAATATGGTCTGGTCTGTTGAAATTTGTTTTCATTTCCGCAATTTTCTCACCAGCTGGCTTGCAACAGTGACAGCTTTTGTGATGTGATCGCTCACATCCGGTATATCAGAAACGTTTTTTTTTTTTTATCCCTGGGAACTGCAAGCGGCCAACAGGCAGAGGACAAACACACTGTTCACGTCCCCTCAACAGTGCGCTTGGGCCTAAAATTAACTTTTAAAAAGGCTGCGACATGTACACAGCATCATTTGTTAATAACTGCATTCATCTTGTAGATCCTTGACCTTTATATAGTCCGTGTTCATCTGACAGCAAATGCCACCACCCCGGAAAGCAAATGCACTTCTCCTGATTCCAAAATGACCTACACGTGCTATGGCTGCTAGCGTTTTGCAAATGGCACATGCATCCGCTGAGGGCGGGGACGGAGGCCCGCGTCTCTAGCTCCCGCACTGGCCCTGAAGTCCCGGACTGACTCTGATGACCTGTGACCTGACTCTCACGCCGCGATTGTGACGGGAGGATATCTGTAACGGATTGCTGAAGCAACACATGTGCATCGCGTAAAATCGTGGAGAATGACTGTTCACATGAGTTAGGTTCTTGTAAATTCAGGTGATGAGAATGAAAACAACATATAGAGATGTGTTTGAAAACGCAGTTTTTTCTCCTTTTTTATTGAATACCCACGGTGTTCCGTTGAGCACACTTTTGATGTCTAGCCTAATGAACAGCATATAGGATTTTTCAGGTGTGCCTTACATCAAACCTATATCATCACCAAAAATCATCGTCCGGCTGCACGGGAACTGTTTGGTTAGATTTGATCAGGTTTCCTTCCTTGAACCCTTCTTCCGTTTTTCATCGTGATTGAAAAGTCCATATTATCTCTCCCGTATCGCCTCATGACCAAGAACAGCAGCAAAATGAGCAACTGAGAATAAACCGTGGAACGTTAGGAAGAATGAGTATACATTAATATTTTCGCCCTAAAGATCAAAGGATTCATAGGGAGATTACATGTCCCCTCTCCTTAAGCGAATCAAAGGAGGTATAATGAAGAAATGCATACCGAAAAAAGTCCTACGAAGAATCGCGCGCACAAGGCAACGCAAGGCAGGGGACCTGGTTTTCAAAGCGACGCGACATGAATAAATGCGTTGGCGAAGAAAGATGATGCAAAAAATGCCGTTCAAATAAATGCGATACAGTGTTCTTGCGCACACAAAGATTTGCGCGTGCAAAGCAGTGTGGATACCAATATTTGTGCAGGAGGACTCGCAGGCGGAGGTTTGCGTGGGGCGATTTTCGCACGATTTGTTGCGTGAGAAAGTACTGCAATACAAGGATCTGCGTTTACACTTATTCACACCAAAAACGCCTAAAACTAGGTGTGGTGCAAATTTGGTAACATAACGGAATTCAAGAGAACCGATCATGTGAAAATATTCCTTTTAATGAGCTCGCACAGGTCAGGAAAACTTAAAATCACCTTCCGGCTCTTCTATAATGAAACAGGTTGCAACTGTGTATGAACTTTTTAGCAAGCCTTAGACTGGGGTGCGGACAAGTTTTTGCACGGTCTACACAGCGTGCTGTCCATACCTTGCACACATCTCTGTCGGACAGTTTTGTTGCCGTACATAGCTTGGTGTTCTGAAGCCCGTTTGGATATACTTCTCGATTTGGGTCGATGACAGCCTCGCACTTTTTCATGGTGATCGCAGGCAGGCTGATTTCTTGTAAGACTTGGCTGGGTGTGGCTGACAACACAAAGGTGGATGTTAGACGGTGCAGGAATTCACAGTGCATTGGGAGTGTATTTTTACGCGGGATTGTACTTCAATAATTTATACTGGGTCATGCCACGTTGGCGTAATTATATCTGTTTAGCAAAACGTGTGTAGAATTACTAGTTTTTTGTCGATACATTTTATTTACCTCGCGCACATTTAGCCCGATTGCAGGACATCGCTTGTGCAGGCTGATTGGTAAACAAGATATTACTCGAGGCTGTAATGATACTTCCCGCTTTGCGATTCTTGATTTAAACTTCGTTTACAAATGAGCCTGCCAAAGTTGCAGCGACGACTGGATGTTTTCTGTTAGTGCTCATTGTCAGACAACGACTGAATAGTCGTTTTTACCCTTTCGGTTCTCCATAATGGTACATACCTACGTATGTTTCAGAGAGAGAGAGAGAGAGAGAGAGAGAGAGAGAGAGAGAGAGAGGAGAGAGAGAGAGAGAGAGAGAGAGAGAGAGAGAGAGAGAGAGAGAGAGAGAGAGAGAGAGAGAGAGAGAGAGAGAGAGAGAGAGAGAGAGAGAGAGAGAGAGAGAGAGAGAGAGAGAGAGAGGGTCTAAGAATAGGAATAGTCTACTGTCTGAATATAGCTGAGAACATCACGCTGCGCAACCACCGCAACAAATGTTAAAAATAAATAAATAAGTTTGAAATAAGCAAGCATTTTTGCTTTCAGTTCGCATTTCAAAAGGTACGAAATATGCCTATCAAGGCCAGTGTAAGATGGGGTCAAACACTGCGATGACAGCTTTCAACTGCAAATGACAAGAATGAGGACGAAATTGGAATAAGCCTCTAACCGAAATGTACCAGATGTATTACCGTTGGGCCTGATATCAGCAAACCACACGCCACGTCTTTAAAATTGCCTGCACCAGCTGATACCTTTGCGCTGCCAGAGCAAGAAAATAAAGAATATTCTTTAAGTCATGGAAAGCCTTCTTTAGTTCATGTCAGTCGCCGAAACGTTATTTTTCGTGTTCAAGAAGCAAACGCAAGCTCTTGTATGGTGTTTGCTGTCTTTAAGTGAACACATGCAACAGCACGCCATAAATGCTACATGACACCTTTCAAATGATCCACATTTTTTCGTTGCCACTATCCACTTAACAACCCACAGCCATCATTGCGCCGTTTGTGTGATACCGTGTATAGGCAAGGCTAGCAGTAGCAGTTTGTCTAAGAATCTTCGGTACTCAAGTGACAGTGCGGCAATTGGCATTGCTACCAAAAAAACCAGAGATATTGCTAGCACGAATCATCCGTAAGAGTCCAACTTGCATCGATGGTAACTTGCCGTATTCTTCAGGCGTAAATCGACAATTCCTCATGACCATCAAGGTCTATTTCACTTTCGACAGCTGTTGTGAAGTTGATGCACCATTACCTATGGGTTGTATTGACATGTCATCAAAGCAGGGCAATGAAAAGCACGCCGTTTTCCCGAATTTTGTTAATCAATGACAGTGATTATAGGGTGTCGTTTGTGTATAATACAAGAAAGCTTAAGTGCACCTCGCCCTCACCGTGGGACCCTGAGCGCAGTACACGTTACCCTCACCATAGGGGCCCAGTGCGCAGTGCACGTCACCTTCACCATAGGGGCCCAGTGCGCAGTGCACGTCACGTTCACACATAGGGGCCCAGGGCACTGTGAAGCTGTTTTTACCTTAAAATCCATTTCACTGCCGCACACTGAAATCAGGCCAAGCTTAGACACTTTGATTGTCAATCACTGTCTTTTTTTTCGGCGGGATCTTTGCTTCAAGCTGTTGAATTATATAAACCTGGCTTGCTGGTATATATATATATATATATATATATATATATATATATATATATATAGCATCTGGCGACATCTTTATATATGTTATTGTTTGTATATATATATATATATATATATATATATATATATGTATATATATATACATATATGTATATATATATATATTTATATACATGTATATATATATATATATATATATATATTATATTTCGGTCAGACACCATCAGTTATGCGCAGACGGCACCGTGGCGGCATAGGCCTAAGCGCCCATTTTCCAAGCAGGGACAAAGCCGGGGCCAGCGATGTACATTGTTCGTGGCCCCGCAGCGCCTAACAGGGGCCCTGTGTTGTCAAGGATCCCCGAATCGGCCAGAGGCAGTGTCCGAAGAGGCCCGAAGAGCCTAGAGGGCCCACCGGGTCCGACGATTAAAGGACCCGATTGGAGGGTCTAAAGGCATAAAAGGCTGGTCGGAGTCGTATTCCGGGGACCCGACCTGCGAAGATGGACCCTCAACTAGCGGTCAGAGGGCCCTTTGCGACAATCGGAAACCCCTCTGAGCCGATATGGGGCTATATGTCGGGCAGATACTACCGGACCACATAGTCGGCTCCGTGGCGGTATGGGCCTGAGGACCCACTTCTCAACAAGCTATAAAACCGGGGCCAGTGACTCATACTGGTCTGGGGCCTTGTACCTATCAGAGGCCTTCAGCGCCTAACAGAGTGTCCCGTGCTCGCAAGAACCCCGAGGCGACCAAGGGAAGTGCTCGATGAGGCCCGAAGAGGGCCCGGGTGGCCCACTGGAGTCGGCGACCAAAGGCCCGGCTGGAGGGGATAAGATCCCGAAGGACTGGCTCTAGGTCACAAAAAGAATCGCGGTCCTGAGGGTCCTGATCTCAGATATCAGTCAGAACTCCTCTTGCACCGATTGAGGAACCCCAGAGACAATGCAGGTGTCTTGGTCGGTCAGAGACCAAGTTCGCCTAACAGTCGGCTTTATGTCCGTCTGAGCTCTTGAGACTCATTTCCCGAGCAGAAACGAGGCCGGGTTCCGCGATTTTCAATGTTCTCGGTCCCTGGCACAACGAGGAGCTCTCATATCGGTTAGGGCCACATTGTCGAACAGGGATCCTGTGGCGGCAAGTGACCCCGAATCGGAAAAGTGTCTGAGGGGGCCCGAAGAGGGACCGAAAGGTTTCTCGGGACCAAAGATCAAGGGCCCGTTGGGATGGCTGGAGGATCCGAGGGGCTGGTTGTAGGTTATATTAAGGCCCATATGGCCATGATCTCAAATGTCAGTAAAATGATCCCTTGCACCGATAGAGAGCCTTGACGCGGAACGTTCCTCTATTTCGGCCAGAGATCACGAGCAGTGAACTCAGTGTCTAAAAGGGCATTGTGGTCACTCTGTGTCAACAAGGGACCTCGAATCCATCAGGGGAAGGTTTGCTTAACAGGGCTGGGGACGGTAGCCAAATCGCGAAGGGTCTCTAGCATTGGTCGGGACCCTCTAACAATTGAAGGAGACATAAGAGCTTATGATGAGTGCTCGCAATGAGGTAGTAGAAGAGTATTGTGCCAGTCAGGGCCCTCAGTGCTTAACAGTGGGCCTTACATTCCTATGTCAGCATGGGCCTGTGAAGCCCAAATGGAGTATCTGTGCCAATTATTTGCCCACCTGCGGCGAGAAGAGATGTTGCGTTACTGACGGTTCACGCGTCCATCCGGGGTCAACTGCGTGGGTCAGAAGGCCTCCCGCGTCAGGGGGCGGACTGATGTGATGCAACGTATTCCTCTAAGGACTTCCGGATCGGTCAGGGGATGCCGCCCCGTGTCGCCAGGGTGACGACCGGAAAGCACACCGCGGTGGGACACAATGGCATTGCAGCCCTTTACCGGGAACAACAATGCGCCCCGTAGTATTGTACTCAAGGGGCCCCTTTACCGGAAATAAGGGGTCTGATTACTGTTAAACGAAGTGGGTCGAAATGACTTCAGAACGCACAAGGCTATCCAATCTTTCTCTGGGAACGTTCATTATTTTGCAGAATCCACTAATGAAAAAATGCCATCAAAAGGCTTGAGCCTGTGTGCCTGGCGTCGATGGTGTGGTGGTTAACGCGCCTGCGTTAACTGCTGTGCGTCTGGGAAACCACAGGGACGGGGTTAGATTCCCCGGGGTGCCTGCCCTTCCCGCTAAGGTGAGAGGCTGGCGGCGCCATATAGCCACAGCGGCTGATTGCGTCACAAAGCCTAAATGACACGCCCATAATCTCGGGGAGCAAGGGTATCGACGCCTTCGGTCCCACTGTTCGTAAAACCGAAAGACGTTCGACACTGCAAGTTAATTTAGGAGGCGGGTGCCAAGCACGGAACAGTAACCATCGTAAAATATTGCTTCTGAATGTCTTTCAAAACTAATTCACACAGTTCAAAAACCGAATTTTTTACAACATTTTTTTCAACTATTTACAATTTCTAAAACTTTTACAACTGGGCGAATCTTGTTTTTTTTAAACTTTGAGGTTGTCCTCTGGACAGATTTACAGTAACAGCAACAAGGAAAATAGAGATTTTACCTTTACTCTTCCAGCTCCACCACTAGATTCCAGCACCGCTTCGCGGTGCTGTAAAGACCAATTCGTTATTGTCATCGGTCTAAAAACCGCACAAGTGAAATATACGCTCGAAGTATCTCTAAATGTAGGATGTCCTGCGGCGTTCGAAGGCAGTTCTTTAAGATGCACTACCATTTTCGCTTACCTGTTGGCCACTGCCTAGTGTTAGCCGCGGGGCCGACACTGCGCGGCCTAAGGAGACTGCAACGTCTGGCGGTAAGCTTTTTGGCAACCAAGATATGCGAGCGCTCATGCTCAAAACTACGTGACATTCTTTGTACCACTAACAAATTATGACTGAATGTTGAACATATCCAGATATACATGGTTTCGCAAAGTCATTGCTATCTCTGTGCAGCCCAGATAAAAATTCTGACAAAGTTTCTGAATTATATCGGTTTTAAAAGCTCACGGAACCATTCAGGGGTGATAAAAGTGTACTTTTGTCGCCGATCGAATTTTAAGAGGCAAAATTTTCGCCAGCAGCGTAATGCGATATCATATGATATCAAATTGTAATAAAGTTCATGCCAAGTAGCGTCATCAGGAATAAGCATACCACCGAAAGCTTATTTCATCAACACATTTTTCAGTATCATGCACGCAACCAAAACGCTCCATTTTACAGTGCCCTTCAACTTATGTCAGAATAACTACTGTCGATAGGAAAGCAGGCGCACCTGACCTAAACTATGGGACAGCGAAATCACAACAGCAGTCTTTTTTCGCACTCGGAACTTAACGGGGCTTTACGTTTAAGCTTGAACTACAGCTGGCTTTGCTTTCCGCGCCCGGAAAAAATGACTGGGCATCGATAGCTAGAGCAGCAGAACACATGGCAGAGTTCAAACTGGTAGCAGGCAGCACTGGGGATAACGTCCAATATGCAGGCCTCCTCGAGGCCATGCTCCCTGGTGAAAATCACGTGTGTGCATCAAGCTACATCCCTACCGTCAGCAAACTATCCACCGTACCTTACGCGTACCCCGGGCCTGGCGCGACATGTGTTGCCTGGTGGGCGCCTTTCGCCGTGCCTCAAAAAGCAACTTGCATTTAAATCTGTCGGGAACTTCACATCGGGCTGTTAGTTCTTTCCGAACAACATAGTCGCCCTGACAAGAGGGGGAAAGGGGGGAGCGATGCGACGCCCCTCCCCCGCCCCTCCTAATGACTTCTAAGGATATCAGTCCTGCATATTGTGAAGTCTCGCCCAAATCTTTGGTAACCTCTGGGGCATCCATTGCGCGTGTGTTGACACCAAAAAATGTGTTCTTGCAATTCCGGTTGCCGAGAAGCGGCGTCTTTTTTACGAGCACGGCAAGACGATCCAAGACCAAAACCAGGTGGACGGCAAGCGACGATTTTGGGGATCACGCGTGGCGGGCTAGCACTGCTACACTAACGAAGCCCTACATTATAGACAAAGCCTCGAAAGAGATAAAACTACGTACGATTGTGCTCGTAAACAAGAAATACGCCTCCTTCATGTTCCATGCCCCTACGCCGCATGTTTTCGTGCATATGAACATGCAAAGCTGAAATAGTTTGATTTTCAGAAGAATTTGGCCTTAGACTTGGCCCAGCGGGGTCGATTAACAACAGGAAACTTCTTACCAATCTCAGGATCTTGTTAATGGCATCGCATTGTTTTTTCCGCGAGGCTCTACCTTTCTTAGTTGGCAGACCGCGGGACATTATCTCCCCCCCCCCCCATCAATCCGTGTTATGAAAACCAGCGAACCAGGGTAAGGGTAAAAATTGTTGGCACCCTCCTTTCTTGTTTATTTTTCACACAATTGTGTAAAAACATGCATTTTAGATAATGGAAACACTAGCTGGTAGAGCAGAATGATACTTTTCGTTACCAACATCTAAACATTAATAGAAATTCAGCTAGCAAGCCAAAATTGCCCTTTGCACGCTAGGTAGAATGTACATTCAAGATTAGCTACCATACCGACCATGCAGGGGTGTTAATTCAAACCAATTCCTGGGGCCCCAACTTGCGTCCTTGTTGGGTTGAGCCCCTCGATGCTGATTTCTCCTCCCCCAACACTTTTAGCTGGAAGAATACAAAAGGAATGAGAACAAATTCTAACTACCACCCAAAACCATTTCCTTTGCGCTTGATTAACTAACCATGACCAACGAGCTGGGGTTATTTGTATTATCCATGTAGACTGCATATCAAATAAGCTGTCTGCCTTCACGACCTGCACTTAATGTATGCAGTGATTATGTTAAGGCTTCCATCAGGACAATTTTTCAATTCAAGTTAGCAAAAACAGTAATGAAATATACCACATTTCATCCATTCAAATGTCATGCCCACAAGCACAAAGAAACTATGTATAGATAAACTAGACTATGTATAGACATGAGTATGCATATATACACGTAATATCTAAGAGAAACATGGTCTCAACAAACGGGCCACATCCGGCGATTTTTTGTTCAGGGTCCTACTATCAGGGGCCCTTCGTCAACCCTATACCTCCTCCCTTGCCAAAGCTCTGTCTGTACCCCTGTAAGAGGGGCTTCAGGAACTTGAAAGAGTGCGACGTATTTTTTATTTTTACCAGCTCAATAAAATATTGGCGCACCAGATGCTTTGTCATGTCCTGCAGTTGGGTGCTCGGATTTTCATTGACGTGCATGTCCGCAGCAAACGCGTACCGAGCGTGAGTCATTTCCAATGTGCAAACCATGTTATTGCACGTGTGCGGGCGGACTCAGGCATCCAAGTCTAGACAGCGGTTTTGTTTGGTGGCAAAGAGGTGGGAAAAAGAGCTGGTGACCGGAGGTGATTTATGTCGGCTCGTCTCAAGCATAAAATGTGAGCTATCTCAAGCCGTATAAGAGAGGTAAAATCATCCGGTGAAAAATGTGCAGGCTTTTTGGATCAGTCAAGTTGTCATTTTTACGAGGAAACAATGGCATATACACTTTAGAATGGATAGCCTCACACATAAATACATGGCATGGAAAGAATATCAAGAACAACGTTGTCCATAACCAATACGCACCACCGGAAATGTCACGTTCTAGAAATGGTCGGCCTAGCCTGCCCACCAAAATCTGATTTCTACCCGGATTTCGGCCAATTGAGTTCGCGTCGAAATGTTAGAATTTAAACAAGCACTTTTGATATGTTGCCGATAATTTTTACCATGCTATTGTTAGAAATGTGTCATACTCCATGCTTAAAATACACACGGTTTGATCTTGGACGTGCTCAGCCATGGCACTCAGCACGATTGAAGGTGATAACCTGGTTTATTGACGGTGGTAGATAAACAACTGACGACGACTATAGCTCTCAATATAGCACTGGCTATGACGATCGGTATGGTGTTTGGTATGCCCTTACTTCCAACGTAGTAACCCCAGCCAGCCACGTAGAGCCTCTTGCCAACCATATCGCCCGTGGGCGCGGTGGGCAGGCAGATTGGCTTGATGAAGTCCGTGAAGATCACCGTCTTTGAGAGCACCAGCAACGCCAAGTCGTGGTGAAGGCCATTAAGCTGTGAAGGGCACTATCGGTTAGAGACCGGCATGCAGTGTGGAGGTCGAGTGGTGCCGAGCAGAAAAGCGTTTCAGTGCAGAGGACCGCTCTAAATCTCTGAGAGGACAATGTTAGCATGCTTCAAGCCTTGCCAATCCTGTGGATGTTTTAAGTAGCCTCCCCTGTCAATTCAACGAATAAAAAAGTGTGGTAGAACATTTACTAGCTCGCGGCAGCCGATCTTGTCGACATTACCGCGGGCGATCCAAGTGTAACGAAATTGCAGCTAGTGTTTCTGCTTTGATCCCCTTCAGGATACATTTTACCCGCAACCTTCCGGTCGGGTCCCGGCCGCCAGCCCCGGACTACCGGCTGCACGTAATCAGCTTTGCGATGACGTCGGCCGGGGTTCGGTCGGATTCCTGCCTCATCGTCAGGCACGCGTGAGAGAATTTCCTCCTCGGAGCGGATGCTTGAACGAGAATAACTGCTGCCTCTGAGGACCTTCATTTACGCGCCAACTCCGTCAGATTCGCGGCACGCGTTTTGCCACCCCAGATTGTGATTGCGTCCTACCTACGTGTTTTCGGCTGATTGTTTGTGCCTACCTGTAATGTATATTACAGGCATGAATCATCCCGCGACCCTGAATGGGCAGAGATTCAATTTGGTGCAGTGCACCAGATCCATTGGTTTTGAAATTACAGAGACTCCCGTCAACGGTATAGGGTGTTACGTGCAAGTGAGAAGAACCCAAAGACCAATGTCATGTGGGCCTGAATGATCGAAAGTGCCCGATAGTACTGCGTACAGGGCCCCGGTCAAAGCGAAGGCCTCCGAGCAAATGGGGACACCTCAAAGCCTGCGTGGAAGGCCCCTGAGTAATCGAGAGTGCCGTGGAATATGAGCATGCGGGGCCTCACCAACAGCGTCGGGGCCTCCGAACAAATATGAAGTGCCCAGGGACCGATGTGGCGGGCCCCTGTGCGATAATGCGCCCGGGTAGGTTAAACGGAAAGGGCCCCGACAAGAATGTGCAGTCTTCCGCAAGTGAGAACAAAGGAAGGAGCCTAAACCAACGCAGATGGTCTGGATAATTGAGTGCCTTGGAGGGTTAAGTTGCAGTGGCCCCAGCAACTGTGCAGGGTTCTCAAAGGAAGTGAAAAGAACCCAAAACCAAGATGGAGGGCCCTGAGCAGTCGAGAGTAACCCGCTAGGTTGAAGGTGGACGCAGCGGTATTGGATGTGTGCGGAGCAAAATATTGTGAAATTCTCATGTTTTGGCCGTTTTTCGTGGTGCTCTTGCATATTTATTATAAGTTTAAGGTCTTTTCTTGTATTCACATGTTCGGTTTAAGTGTTGTTCTTAAGTCATTCGATTACAGGTTTTTGTCCTTAATAGCTCAGAACAACGTACAAACTGTTGTACTTTAGTACAAAACGTAATGAAGTTAAATACTTACAAAACTTACCACAATTGTTTGAGGGCCAACTGGCGGCCGTTATTTCTGGAGATCGTGCTCACGAACGCCAGATATAGGTGACTTGAAATCATATTTATCTCGGCTTTGAACGCCACGTGGCCAGTGAAATGGCAGGACATGAATGTTGTCATCATAGCATTATGGAAGCCTGGGGGACCTTGAAACAGCCTGCACGAAATAGTCGGTACATCTTTGCGAACGTGTAGCCCAGAAACACGAGGGCTTTAGGTCTTGAGTAGGGCAGGGCTATGCAATGCATCGAATGATCTTCAAAATGGTTGTTTCAGTTCAAAACCCCATGCAAATGTGTAAGACATCCTGCAACATACATGCCCAGGGCAACAGCGTGAAGCCATTCGACGTCTCCCGTACGCCGGGTGCGGGTACGCACGCTTCTGACTTGTTCCACAGCAGGGTGACCTCGTACGGAATGCGGCGGCCGTGCACGGCTGAGGGGCGAGCGGATGGGGCCCCGCGAATGGATGGATTAGCTGATAGATGGAATAGCTGTAGTATTGCTTCAGTCGCAAGCTGGCGAAAATGTCGTCAAACATCGTTGGCAGGGAAGAAAGCAGACGTCAGTGTCGGGTATGGTGTGAAATGTGGAGGCACCGGGCAGGGCTGGTGAGAAGCCATATGTGCCTGATGGTCAGCAGCAATCTCCGCTCCAGACTTGAGCCAAGGATGACGTTCGCGCCTTGCGTGCTATGTCCGAGAAGAACTCGAGGCATTCCGCGTGCACTCAGATGAGTCTTTTACAAGATTGAGGGAGATACTCGAAGAGAAAATGCGCAATCTTATATCTCTGAGCAAGTCAAGGTGGCATATAAATAGCATAAAAAGAGATTGACCGGACTGGAAAAGCACGTGAAAAACAAACTCGAAGAAAGGGATGCGCTGCAAGCCGGAGGTCATGAAAGTGACGTCACGATAAAATCATCTACTTCCAAGCGGGATAATTTGGAAGCTAGGCATCGGTGCATCATTGGACTATCGACGTCCGTTTCATGTGGAACAATTCATTGGTCATGACAACCAGGTTGGGCCACATTGGGCCACGCCCTCTTCCACGAAAAACACCCAGCACTGCCCGGTGAGATGCATTCAAAAGCAAACGACATGCCTGCGCTTAGTCCGGGGCAGGTGGACGACATCACGGAGTGGGCGGTCATCCTCACCTGAAAGCCGGAATGGATAATATGTTTCTTCACCGTCATGTCCCTGGTATAACTGTCTGCAAACTTGCGATTATACTCGCCAAGGCGAACCACCCAAGTCGAGTTTCTGGAAGCAGATGACATGCTCAAAACTCTGCAGTCAATCGCTACCGGTACACACGTATAGTGGTTATCTTGCGCTTTTGTCGAATCAGCTCTGAACTGGCAGCATCGTATTCCATAAGCAGCTTTGTTCTTGCATTGACAACTTTTTTGATGGTCACCAGCACAAAGCACCTGTGCATTAGACTAGCATTTTGACCCCTATCAACACGTCACATTTTGGGCCCAAACTGTTGCGGACATGGCATTACTGTGCACGCATGCAAAGCTGTCATTGTGAGCATGGGAATAGCAGGGATGTTCAAGCGGACACAAGACGCCGGAGCTAGACGCCTGCCGCCCGCTGGGTATCACATACATGAGCGCCCCATGTCCATCGTAGAAGCAGTGGGCAGCCGTCAGCACGTGTCGGTTGCTGATCAGCGTACCGCCGCAGAGCCAACTGGGTCGTCTGTTGGCAGCACGGGTGCCCAGCAAAGCCTGCGGAGGAACGTGCTCGTTTTCATCAGGAAGGGAAAGCGTCAGTATTAGGCGTGACAGCTGTGAGTCACATGTCGGGACTCCTCTCCTTTTCCTTCCTTTTTCATCACATCCCTGGGTAGTCAGTTGAATGCAATGCACTCGGGTGTGACGGGTGGGGATTTTTTTAAAGATTAAATCCGAGCCTTTGAACGGGTGGCCTTTTGGGATTAAAGCTCACGCTAAGCAGTGCTTTTTGTGTGAGCCCTGGTTCCTACCATGTGATCGCGCAATTTCAGGGTAGCGCAAAATTTAGTGGCGAAAGTTTAACGTGCTGCATGCCCGGCACTGTCCATCCTGCCCTTTGGTGTCAACTGACCTTTGGCGCGACCGTTGTTCGCGGCCGAAAGTCATACCTGTCAAGCACAAACAGCAAACGCCTTAAACGCCTCGAACCCACCCCGCCACGGGTGGGCGGATCGGAATGCAGGCGTCCTAACCAACTGAGACATCGGAGCGGACCAAGTTGCCCCGCCCCGGAGATCTTAGAAACTGAGAGGGCTATTGCAGGTAGGGCCTGTATGTGAGCTACTGTCAAATTGAGTGAATTTGTGTCAAATGTCCAGGTCTTCAGGTAATGAACGTGACCGTCGGATCAATTGTCCAGGTCCTCAGGTAACGAACATGACCGTCGGATGAAATGTCCATGTCCTTAGGTGATGAACGTGACCGTCGGATCAAATCATGCCGCGGAGAGTCAAACTCCGAACCGGTGTCCGAAGTGCCCCCAGACCTAATCATGCAACCACCTTTACGTAGATATGTCTGAAGAAAATGGTTACTGGTGTTAATCTAGGGTCTGTGACGGCCTTCAGAAGGTCACAGTGACTAACAAAGTTGATTTTTTAAATTGAATTTAAGTAAGCGTCAAGAATTACGCTAGGCTGTATGCAAGGGCTGGTTGCGGTCATTACAGATCGATGATCTTGCTGATCTTCAAGAAGTTTGAAGAAGATGTTTATTGGCGTCCCTATGATTGAAACTAAAAATGAGCGTCAAAAGCTATCTCACAAAGCAACTTGTGGAGTAAATATCAATTTGATTTCGTCCTCGGCGTGACCTTTATAACCAGCCCAAGGCCAATAGAATTGATGGCTATCCGAACTTGCAATTATAGTTTTTCTAAGAAACCATCTCTAGGATGTATGGCTTCGCGTAAGACTCCGTTTCTGCATCAGATTGAACGACTCCTTAGAAGTAGCCTACACTGACAGCCATGGCGTGACTTTGACCCGCCATAGATCAGCGGCCTTACAAGATACATCTAACGCTGGCCTATCAAAATCAGCTATTCAATTCCCCACAGCTATGCAACGCTTGCCGTTTGGGAATTACTTGGGAAAAAATCTTGGTGGAGAGGGGGTTCAGGCGCACATTAAGGAAACGACACAACACATGACATCCACGAAAACACCACATACCACGTCATATCATTAATCATTCCATAATTTAGAGTCTCCAACTGCCAGTTTGAAAGGAGCTTACACCAAGAGCTATAACCCTAGAGACCGTTTTGCCTTTGCGTTTTGACCACATGCAGCGGAGGCATCAGCGTTTTTTTTTGCGATCATCTCTTTTTTCATATGCGCAAGAAGGAGGTGAACCCGCTGCTTACCGCGAAACGCCATTTGTTAGTGACACGGCTACGTGCTGTCTGTCTCATGCCGTCCAACACGGGGAACAACCGGGACCAGTGTTCATATGTGTGGCCGAGGAGCCAATGTAGAAAACCAACAGTGTAGAAGAACCGGAACCAGTGTTCATGCGTGTAGCCGAGTAGCCAATGTAGAAAACCAACAATGTAAAAGAAGCGAGACCGGTGTTCATATGTGTAGCCGAGGAGTCAATGTAGAAAACCAACAAGGTAGAAGAACCGGGACCAGTGTTCATGTGTGTAGCCGGGGAATCAATGTAGAAAACCAGCAACGTAGAAGAAGCCCCGCAAACTACGTTTTGCAATTACTACGAACCATAAACAAGCTGCAACTTTCTTAGCAATCAAGTTGTTCCATCACCTTAAAATCACATGGTTTTGTGCAACTAGTTTCACACTGTCCGTTTGAAGGAAGACAGCGTCAATGTGTGCAAATCTAAAGCAGTGGTTTGACTGAAAACTTTAATGGGGTGGGGCCTGCCAGCAGAGTTTCTGATCATGTGTGGCCTGGGATGGGCAGGATATTCTAACTTTTGCAGTAAAGTTTCAGTACATACGGATCCATAACACTGGGAATGTCAGTGTTAAGGGTGACGGGTATACTCGAGTCGCTTCAGGCGACTTCTATTTGTCCTTGACAGACATGACCTGCAGCCGGTGGTGACACGGGTCGAATGGTAGGAGCAGTGCGCGTACAAGTAACGCTTGGTGTGCGCTCTGATTCCAGAACTCGATTCAATCAGTTTTTGGATAAAGCATTCACAAAGCATGGGTTAATAGGCTGCGGTAAGGAAAGTACATCAAGTGGTGCTTCCCTTTCGCTGGGCCCAACACGGCCAGAACGTTGCAGCAGCTTCAGAGCGTAAAAAGAAAACGCCTATCAAAAAGTTAGATACCATACGCGTCAGTAAAGTATGCCGCGACTGTCTACACACGTATCTCGCCAACGTTTTCTGGGGTGCATTACCTAACCTTTGGATGAAGTGTCACAAAAAAGTCGCAATGAATCTCAAGCTGACTTTCTTTACAGCACATCAGTAACATTACTCACAATCCAGGGCCATTTTCGAGGGTCGGCGTCAATCCCGCCTCGAACGAGAGGGGTAATGGTCTTGTTTTTTGAGCGTGAGTATACATTCAGGAGGAACCCAGTCCGCGACGGTCCTGTGACGCGATGAACTGATTCCGGAACTGGAACGCCGCATTCTGCAAAAAGGCATGGCATGTTAGCAACGCTGAAACAAAATTGCGACAAATGTGCGTGGAACAAAACGATACGATCGAAAGGTGCATATGAAACGAGGCCATACACTTCTGTTCAGTCATGTGGAATGCATTGTCCAGATGCTGGTAACAGTCAGTACGTTACATTCTGCGTCAGTCTGCTAAGAGTGCCATTTCGCGACAAGTCGATGAATGAAGTGGCCAAAACAGAGCCATCTGTTTGTATTGCAATGAAAGCAGAGTTATCTTTATGAGGTCTTATGATTGGAATTTAGCTGCATTACCCTGACAAAACAACTTATATCAATGACTTTTCTACCAAAACCAGTTTTCTCTAAGAGCCAATCTCTTCCAAAACCAATTAATTTTTGTTACCAGCTTTGCATGAATCATTTTACTCATCTGTGCGTGCGTGCATGCCCGTGCCCAAACTCTCGAGCGCACAGCGTCAAAATGTGCGAACGAACGCAACATATGGGGACAAATCTGAGCGGAAATACTGGTGCCCGCAGAATTCTGGCAGCAGAAATACTGGCGCCAGCAGAATTCTGACAGCGCAGTTACGGGTCCAACGGAGAGCGCCACTGGTTTAAGGGTGGGAGGGAGGGAGGGGGGGGGGGGGGGGCTCAAACGAAGACTGCCAGTGGTCCAACTGGTCTGTCTCATTACAGGGTGCACGATTTCGCGGTCATCAGTGGTAAGCGGTCGATCTCGTAAGACGCAGGCGCGTGCAACGATCTGGATGTGGGGCCATCCGAGTGCGCAATAACGTGAGTTAGCCGATCGAAATCCGGTGTATAGAGAGACTGCCTCTGCGGTATCGCACAGTGGTCAACGAAGGTCTATTCCAGGTGGAGGGGGGGGGGGGGGGTGGCGACCGCAGCACCCTTCCACTCCACCCGCCAAGCTAGGGTTTTGCGCCTGTTTTCCCGAAACGGTTTGCGGCGTGGCGTCGAAATTGTTGACTTGTCGACTCTGCCCCCCCCCCCTCCCAATAATTTGGCAAAATCGACACCAGGATAGCAGGGTGTTTTGTCGTGTGTAAATGATTCTGAAAATTACGTTTTACCACTGGGCGTAGGTTCAATTGTGATGGTGTTCCATATGGTGTCACAGTACGCTGCTTGTGACAACTGCGTATACCGTCTCTGATTGGTGCACATGGCGTACCACTGAAGTGCTCGGAGCATGGGTTACAGCGTTGACACACGGCACCAATGCTCGGAGGTGTACGCACGATATCGTCGAATCACTCAAATAGAAAGCGTTACCTGTTGGTGGGACGGGGTCTATGTCGTAGTCGTCTGGCAGGAGGGGATTGCTGATGACGTACTCAGAATCCATGCTCGTGTCTAGTTTAATCCCGCCTGAGTTAACTGAAATTACAGAAGAAGTGGATTAGAGTTACTTTGCGGACCGTTTCTATCGCCTTTCGTGTTACTTACACAAGTCTTATTGACCGAAACAAACGCAGACAAG